CAATATATTTAACAAATTCCTTCATTTTATATAAATGATATCGCATCAAACAAATTATACCTCAATTGCACCAGTTGCCAATTAAAAGAAACCACACTTTCATGTGCGGTGTAAATATTTTCATACTTTTGATACTCCTTTTTATTTCGCAAAACAACAAAGTAATTTTTAACCACTATATTTAAAAGCTATCAAAAAGAAATCTGACGGATGTTTCTTAATATATGGTGATGCATATTAAGCATTGCACCTTTATAACAAATTTAAATATTATACCTTCCCAGTTTTATTTACTGCATTTCCTTCTTTTCAGGTGATTTTCGTTTCTGAGTGTTCGCCGCCTCATTCTGATTATATGTACGGTAAACAAGGCTTACTTCAAGGTCTCGTACCCAGAGCTTTTCTAGAAATTCTCGACGAAAAGTAAAGTTAAATAAAAAGTAGGCGTGTTGATTAAAAGAATCGTAAAAGTTTCTAAAACACCAAACAAAAATTCAATTAACAAAAATTGCTTGTTCATATTAAAATTATTATAGCTAGTAATAAATATGTTATTATATATGTAATTCGAATTTTCAAATTTTGAATTAACAAAGTAACTTATGTGTGCATAAGTTTCCCACACTATCAATAATCTCATAGTTTAATCTTTTCTAAGAATCGTTATGAGTTTAAAGCAGGAGACTAATTTTGAACCAGTACACTATTACTTACGTTAATAACAACTACTACGCTGACAATGCAGTAACAATCGTTATTTTGTATATATTACCTCTTAATTATAGGCCACATTACGAAATTGACGTTATGTATTTTAGACTTTTATTGAGCTCCTCTGTCGTCTAGTGTCATTCTATCTTTTGTCGTCTAGTATCATTCATGTGCAAAGGCGATAACGCACCTATTTACAGGAGCGGGCACAGATAATATAATTCTAAACACAGCTGAAACCTTTTCTTACTGTTGCCAAGACAATATAAGGGAGAGAAAGTAAAAAGAAAATTTGTGAGTATACGTCTGCGTAAAAATTAGTGTTAGTTTACAAACGAGAAATCAATAAATATCAAATATAGTAAAAGCTCTTTATTCGCGGGTGTATATGTGCCGCGAATACAGAAACCGTAAATACGGAATGGTAATTGGATACCTATTGGAATTCTTTTATTATTATGTATGTACTTATTAGATCCGCTAACAAAGAAATTTATAGCCGCGAATATAGGAATTTTTTAATTTTTTTTTAATCCGCGAATAGTGTAAACGCCTACAAGATAACATATTTGTAACAAAACGTTAGTGTACTTGCCATATAAGAATGTCCCTTTCGAGAGGTAATAACAGCAATAATAACTTCGTCTTTCAAAATTGTTATAAACTAATAACACATTATTATTGTAACTTTTTAGATTAATGAATTAAATTCTTAGACTAAAAAGAAAATAAAGATCGCTAACCACATAAATTATCGGCTCTCTAAAATAAAAACTAATAAAATAAAAAATTATTATCTTTCATGATTTATTAATACGTGTTAACTAAGATTTCGTAAACAAATGGGCATAAGGATTTAAACACCTTATACTTTAATACAGCATTATTCTATTCAAAAGAAATTGAATGCTATTAAAGTTACTAGTGTGCTCGCCTTTGTAAAGTAGAATTTTCGAAATTCTAATAAACTATAGCAGAAAACAATTATCAAATATTAATCCTTATTTAACTTTGCAAAATTGCTTGTATAAAATAAAGTATAGTGTTTAGTAACAGACGTTCTTTACAATTGGATAGTTCTTGAATATTTAATAATATTGCACCTAAAATAACAGTAAGATTGAGGATATAAATAGAAAGACTCGTGAACTAGAAAAAAAAAAAAAACAAAATACAAAGGAAATACATACGAGCAGTCGTACTCTGGCAATATTCTTTGTCAATTGTTACAATAGCTTGCTTGTTTATGATCGTTTCTTTTACTTTTTTTTAATTTGATATTTTAAAGCAAAAGTGACAATAAAATTTGTAACGTTTGCCGGTACGGGTTATTTAAACTTTTCCCCGGCCTAACTCAGTGTACATCACACATTAAATTAAAAGGTAAAAAGGCTACACAAGAGCCATTACTATATACTGGGCACCATCTCGCCTAATACAATTATTTGTATATCGGTTCTTCAAAATAAGTTGTTACGCAGGAAGTGGTGGAAGTGTAAGACAGGTAAGCTTGGATCGATTGAGAAAGTGATTCTGAACCGCGATACGTCTATCTAAAGTTCTTCTCGTTGCTGCATACGTGCGCAAAAATTTAATACGTCCTTGCCCCAAAAGCGGTATAGAATATAAAAAAAGAATAATTGAACGGATTCCATCCGTTGTTTGTGAGGTATCGTGTTGACGGAAAACTGATCTCCAATGCACACACTAATATTACCGTTAATAAGATAAAGAGTAAATTGGTCTTCATCAAGCGTAGGGCCAAAGAGTCTCCTGATCCTTACGATTGCGCTGGGAAAAATTACATATTTTGACACTTCCGCTATATCAATACTTCTGAATTATTTGAAATAAGCTATAAAGATTCTTGTTAAAACCTATAAAAATAAAGATTCTTACTACGGATTATAAATATATACGCCTTTTCGTTGGAGAAATTCTGATTACGGTGCTAAACAATTAAACATTCTGTTTGATCGAGATATGGCGCTTTCTAAATCCTCGACATTGTTCGGGACGAACAAGATTAAGTGGAGGGCAATGTTACGAAAGTCCCAAATCGGGTTCATTCCAACTAATTGATTTTCCCAGAAAATAAATTCACTAAAGAGTGAGAAACTAAGTGCACGTAAACAAAATAATTGCGGAAGGCAGAGTCAGTCGAAAGAGAAAATTTGGGTCGAGAAAAGGATAGTATTGCCGAAATAGATTATAAATAATCCTACTCTTAAGGAAATTGATTGTAAATAAAAGAATCTTGAAGTGAAAACGTGCAAGTATATTACTCTTAAAAAGAAAAACTCCGATCTAGAGATACGAACTGTGTGCAGAAAAGAATTTCGAAGAACGTTGTTCATGCATAAATATCCATATATATGTATGGTTCATGTTTTCATTTTATTTTTGACTCTTTTATAGTTGCATGTTTTGTTTATGTTCTTGTGATAGGTCTGTTTTTGTTCGTTGTGTGTATATGCATGTGTACATACCGATCATGCTTTCACCTTTTGCCCGTTCATTCTACTATTTTCCTTTGTTTGTTTACGTATTAGAATAGACCGTAAATAGCGACAAATGATATTGTTTTTGTATGTCAGCAAATTTTGACGATATCATCCGCTGCTGACATGAATAAACAATTCATTATGACCATTGTTCTCATGCCTTGATATATGAAACATACATAGTATGTAAGACAGCCATTTTAGCATAAGCAGCTCTTTTTTAGTTAATTAACAGACGAAATTATCACTTCGAATCATACTGACCTCTTTAATTCGTTACCACTTAGTTCTTGTTAAGGTGCCTCAACGTCCTATTTGAAAATTTCTCAGCGATACTCGCTAGCCAAACATTGGTGATTTACTTGTTAACTGAACTTCCTCTCTCACTTTCGTTTCATCGTTTTGGATAGACCTTAATTCCATAACTAAAATGATAAACTTTGGCAAGCTTGTGGTCCAGCAAGAGGAGTAAAATCTCAACATCCAGCAAAGTGTTTTCAATTATAAAACGGCTCCCAAGCGGCGGAAGGAATTCCTTCTGAGGAAGCAGAAATCAGCTGGACAAACAAAAGCGAAGGCATCCCCAACTGAAGGAAGATCACCATTATCACTCGCTTCAAATCAAGATCACAGTTTTAATTCTATATCACGTAGTTCTAATTAAAAGATCTGAACGCTATTTCATTGATTAAAAAATCCTGAACAGTCACTACAAGTTTATGTCTTTGTGTTACCCGCTAGCCAGAGGATTAAAACAACACCTTATCATTAGGGAGTAAGGAAGGGTTTTAGAGTTTATAAATTAGTTCGTAATGGTACTCCTCAACGATGGCTTTCGATCTTAAGACTTTCGTGGCTGTGTCGTGAACGTAGTTTCTTAATTTCTTTAATGCCTTGAATGCAAACATTTCTTTCTCATTTGCGGCAAAGTGTCCTTCATTGTTTTTAAGTCCTTCGAAAATGGTATACTGTGTTGTGACGACAAATTTAAATTTAATGATGGAGTTTTTGAGATTCTGTGTTTATCCGCTCTTAAGGCAATGGTTAACGGTTTCGCTACATTTTAAATAATATAATAATGGTTTATGGTGTAAGGAAGCGTTTTTGCTTCCTTACGGAATACAAGTCCGTCCGTCTAAAACATTTACCCACAGCGAACAACCTGTCAGCCTGATCTGTCCGTGCACGTCTTTTGTCACCAGCGCATGAAGAACCTCCTCCAGCAAAATATATATACAACGGCATAAGTGCAAAATAGGTATAAGATCGCTAAAATGAACAAAACATGCATGAAATGGCTCCAAGGCATAGAATATGTAACACAGGCACGAGAAAAATAGGTATAAGATCGTTAGAATGAATAAAACTTGTATGAAACGGCTCATAGGCATAGAACATGTAAAATCGTATAACACAGGCACAAGTCGAACGTAGGTATAAAATCATATGAAATATGTAAAATATATAAACACCCGCACAAGTATAAAAATACCTTAAATCATAGAAGCACACAGGAGAAACGCATACATACTAGGCATTACTATACAAACGCCGTTAGGTCATATAAGCACGTAGAAACCCTTATGCTTCACAATGCATAAGCACACACGCTCATGCAAACGCATATACCAAAGAATCACATATAAGACTGTCTATTACTGTTAGGCTACAGCAACATGCAGAAATCTGTATACGTTAAACTGCATAAGCACAGGCTGTAGAAACGCGTACATATCATGCATTACTGTATAAACCCCGTTAGGGTATATAATCAGGTAGAAACGCTTATGGTCTACAATGAATACACGATCAGGCAAAACGTATAGACGATAGAATCACACATAGCAATGCATACCAATATACAGATACTCGTACGCGCAAAGAGTACAAACACACACATAATATTACACAAAATGTAAACGCCGTCAGGCCATATAAAACCTTTAACATGTATAGGCACATGAGATCAAAAAAAAGAAGAAATGAAAAGAAAAAAGAGAAGAAAAACAAAAAGCGCATAAAACTGTAGAAGCAATGTATAAGCGCCGTTAGGCCAAGCTAACGTATACACAGGTATAAACATTTATGTTTAAAATGTAGAGAGATCACACATGCCAATTATGTATAAGCTCACATGTATAAACATGTATAAACACAGAGAAACAGAAAATACATTTATTCTACCTAAATATAAAACCATAGAAACGTACGCGAAGTATTGTACACCTAGGATGAGAAGTATAAAGAAAGAAGAAGAGCCATGTTGAAGAACCAGATAAGCAAACATAGCAATAAGGTAGACGTTAGTTAGCCGTAATCTACATATAAGTATGTCGTGCAAGTCGTAATTAACGTTGCGACAGCTACCAACCTAAATTAAGGATACCGCAATACACATGTAAATGCACACAGCCGACAGGTTGCAATGGAACAAGCGAGCGCGACTCCCGCTATAAAAGTGCGACTTATCACACAGAATCTTTCAATTTGGTGCCATAGCTGCCTGAGGTAAGTGTAAGCGGACTACCTGACTCACTGACTTTTATTAGTAGTTTGTAGTGACTTACGGATAGGGGATGTGACGGTTAGTATTAATCGCCATCCCTGAACAACAGATAGGACAGTGGCTTACGGATATGGGATGTGACGGTTAGTATTAATCGCCATCCCTGAACAACAAAAGGTACAGTGACTTACGGACACGGGATGTGCCGGTTAGTATTAATCGCCATCCCTGAACAACAAATAGTACAGTGACTTGCGGATAGGGGATGTGACGGTTAGTATTAATCGCCATCCCTGAATGACCAAGCAATACCCCCTTCGCCTGACCTGAGTTAACCAGAGACAGTGAGGGACAGGCTAGCGCACCAGAGAGCCAAGGCAGCTACGGCACTGG